AACACAAGTGCACTCTTTTAAGCCAGCCACATAGAAAAAGGCAACCTAAAGCAGATTTTTTTTTTTTTTTACTTTATGGGTCTAAATGAAAGAGAAGTACTAGTCTTTAAGGAGGGAGGTTGTGTGTGTGTGTGTGTATGTGGGGGGTTGTTGGTTGTTTTTAAGAATTGTTTCCCATACTTCCATTTGTTTGAATTAAACCACAACTGTAAGAACTTTCAAGGCTGAAAGAACTAGGGCCATCTAGTCTGGAGAAGAGTAGACTAAGGAGTATTTGGTAAATCTTCAAATACCAGAAGAGCAGTTAGAAAGATGATGGAGATAAACTTTTCTCTGTGACTGTAGAGGACAGGAATAGAAACAATGGCCTCAAAGTGCAGCACAGAAAGTTTAGACCAGAGATTAGGAGGACATTTCTGACTACAAGGGTGGGCAAGCATTGGAACAGTGACCCAAAGAAACTGTGAACTCCTAATACTCGGAAATTTTCAAGAACAGATTAGACAAACACTTGGCTGGCATGGTATAGCCTTGATTAGAGTGTATTAAATGACCAAATGAAGTCCCTTTCCAGCCCCACTTTGCTAAGAACCTATGACCAAATTTCCAGTCATTGAAGTTGAAAAGCTTAATATATTTAACAGAAAGGGGAGAATAAAACAAGGTGACATGGACTAGGAGACTGCCTGACAGCTTTAGCATCCAAGAAGGAAAGATCCTACAGCCAGGAAGAAAGAAAAGTAAATACATAATAGGTGAGGTAACACACAAAAACATAAAAGCTATACCTTCAAAGCACATTTATTTTCATGTGCTCTCTTCAGTGCTGCCCTACATTTTTTCCATATAAAGCAAACTTTCATCAAGATCTGTATCTTCTGATGTGATGCACAACACAAAAGAGTTGGAAGATCAGAGAAAGTTAAAGTATAAGTGACGTAAGGAAATTCATTCATTAGTTACTATCATTAAGAGTTTACAGAGCCAACATTAGTCATGAGCTACAAAAGTCTACTTCATTTTGTTATGAAGTTATAGTATTCCAGAAGCAAGACTTTCCAGTAAGAAGTGGGTCTTATACCTGTTACAAAGTTTGTTGCTAATCGACTAACTGAAGTCAAAACAATCAGTCTTTAGGATCAAAATCAAGCCTGAAAGCAGCAGCAACCTCATTTAAAATTTTGACTATTTCAATTATTTGAACTTATTCTCAACACAGCAGATGACTTTATTCATGCAGATGAATAACTTTATTCTTTGAAAAAATAAGTCAAATTACGTGCTGCTGGATAGCTGAGATTACATTAAAAATAATATATGAAAACTTTAAATGACTATCATTATTTGGGGATAAGATTGAGATTTATTGCTTTAGCTCGCACTGCAACACAGGAGCTGTCATTTTTAACAATAGTAATATTTACCAATTTGCTGGAAGTAAGAACAATTATTGAAAAGGTATATATCTGATATAATCACTGCTCAAACTTGGTAATCTCTTATTTTGGCATATCACTGTACAATACATTCTTATATTCTGTTAATGACTTCTAACTTGGGTAGAGTGCCATAGCAACTGGGAGTTTATTTCATTATCAGCTCTGTCTGCTAATACTGATATAACTCTGATCCCCAAATAACCATTTTGGCAAGGTGACCATAAGCAAAAAATATTGCATATTATATAAAAATAGTATGGTTGGTAAAACATTTACCTCCTCCATAAAATTGAAGTAGGCTTAGAGCAGGACAACAATGACAACTCCCCATTCATTGTCTGCATAATTAGAATTTATAGTTTTGTAAAACTAAACAGCCATCGTGCAAGTTAAGCTCATATTCTTTTTTTCCTACATATTAAAACCATATCACTTTTTCCATCACATACTTTATTGTGAAAGAAGTTGCCAGAATCAGATACAAGGACTGATTCCTATAGTAAGGGGGTCCCATAAACACAGACCAGTAACAAGCTGAGTGATGCACATAGACTGTAGTAGTCTAAGCTCCTCACGTCATGAGTTTGTATTACACTTGGGTGAACTTGAACACATGCACAGAATGACCCACATAACAGACAAATAGTCTTGTTTTCATCATCATAAGTTTCATTCCTTTCCCCAGAGCCAAATTGTTGATAAATGCATTTTCAGACAAATTAAAAGGTTAAATATTTTTATTCCTTCCAGTCATTGTTATTAGAAAAACACCCCACCCCTTTTCGTTTATACTTCAAAAGGAGATATGCTTATACAGCAGAAGTCTCCATTTCAAACCTCAGGTCTCAACTGTTTATTGCTATTGATTTGGCAGTACTGTCTATGGTAAGATGATCTGGTTGCTGACAATGGAAGCAGGGTGAAAGCTACCTGAAACTATTGATGCCATTGATTACTAATGGAAACATTTGTGTCTCTTCTCTTACTTTGTCCATCCTCCCTCAAATTGTTTATCCACCTAATGCACTTTATCTAAATACGAAGACTGTAAGCTTGCTGGGGTGAGAACTGTATGTTGTTGGTACGGTGCCTAATGCAACAAGCAATTTTCTTTTAGGAATCTTAAATAAAAATATGAATAATAATTATATGAACGGATACTGAATCAAGACAACTATTTCCATATTCAAAGCTAAGTAGTGTTTCACCAGTTCAGCTGCAGTTAAATGTCAATACTAGATGATATTCATAATGTGAATACGCTTATGGGAAACATTTTTTGCTGTTATGTATCTGTCCGTTCATTTCACGAGTGCTCGACTCACCACTCATGTCAAATTTCAGCAAGAGTCTGACTGAAGCATAGGAGAGGAAAAAATGCAGTATTTGTGACAGTTAATATAACAGAACAAATGTAAAAGGCAAAGTAGATGTGCACCTTGTAGACTAACTGAATCAGATGCATAAGCTTTCATGGTCGGGGTGGGGGAAGCAAGGCTCCGCACTCCACTCCAACCACAGCAGCCGCTGCCTCTTGTGGGCAGCAGACAAGGCTCAGGCACTGCTGGAGGAGAGGCGGGGCGTTGCAGGTTGGGAGTGAGGGGGATCATACTGAGGAAATGGGGTCATGCTGAGAAAAATTTGGGAAGCACTGGTCTACACCATTGGTATACATATCAGAAAAATGCAGGCTACATTAGTTCCCTACTGCCTACGTTGCAACAAACTCTATAGTTATGAGCATTCGAGTGCATTCCATGCCAATGGCAGTGCCATTCAACATCTGCCTTCATGGGGGCTAGCCATGAGAAACATTATACTACTCGTTTCCATTGTACTCTTCCACTTCTTTTCACACGCAACTAATTCAGATTTGAAGACTCTATACCTATAAACAAAACAGCACTGCCCTGGGCGCACACGAGGCCCACTCCTGTATGCCACTACATTTACCTTGAAGTCTATTTCCTCCACAAGTGGCCCCACTCCCTAGTATACCTAAGGTACATCAGTTCACATCATTTGGACACATGGAAAGAAATCTCTAGAGGAATTGCACAAGGACTTTAATAACTTCCACCCTCCATCAAACGGCTCTGGAATACTCCACCCAGAATATTTATTTCTTGAACACCCACCACTGTGAAACTTTGCAATGGCTACATTGCCACTGCGTTGTAACAGGAACCAACTAACTGCTAGAGCTACTTCCACACTACCAGCTGCCAACTTAAGCCAAGCACGGGCAATTACTTAGGGGCGCTTAAGGAGTTTTAGTAAGCTGTTGAGGGTGGGGGGAAGGGGAGAAGGAAGGCATTGATCCTATCCAGCCTGATGGTCGCTGCCAGAAACCTACAGAAAGTGGGCTGCACAGATTTCTCCACCCCCTGCTCATCTATCTCCCCCCCTACCCCAAACCCCCACCTGGATTCCTGTGGGTACTGCATAGTCCTGGCAGCCAGGCCCACACAGGACAGGGCATGTTGTAACACACCAAGCAGCCATCCTGCCTGCCCACCATGATGAGTCACTGCTGCCACTGTCCTGCACCAGGAAAGTCGGGGGGGCGGCTGCCTCAGGTTGAGCACCCCCCAACAGCCAGCACGGACTCACGGTACCATGGTGGCAGCAGCTCATCGGTGTGTTGCATCATGCCCCGGTGTGGCAGCTACTCAGTGTGCTGCATCATGCCCCGTCCTGTGCAGACCTAGGTGCCAGGACTGCACAGTCACAGCACCAACTGGAAGTATGGATAAGCACCAAGAAGAAGTATGGCCACCAATGAGGAGAGAAATGATTCGGGGGAGGGGCAGAGGAGTCCGAGTGCTGTGTGGCTTGGCCCAGCCCAGCTGTGGAGCAGTGCAGGGGACAGCCCTCCCTCCTCAGGTTCCTGGCAATAGCCGGCAGCCCAGAAAGGATCAACTGGTGGGCCAGATACAGGCCACAGACTATATTTTGCACACTCCTGTCCTAAGAACACTACTAGTTCTATTGTAGAGCTTGTCTGTAGACATTATAACTGTATCTGTTCTGATCCCACTGACAATGATGCATACCTTAGGCATATGGAGCAGGAATTCCTACACTTGCAATACGATCTCAAAAGTACAACAACTCAAAAATCAGACCCAGACTTGGACACCAATCTAATCTACTACTATACCACCCCTATCACAAGGGCAACAGAATCCCTCGTCACCTGGAACCCTCAGCTTGAACACAGTTAGTAACCTCTAACCTTACTGGAAAAGTGATAACAGGAACAAGGCAGCCTTAGGGAACAAGCATGTCTTATTGGCAGCCCCAAACCTCAAACATCACTCCAGCAACAGACTACCCAAATCCTATGCTTACAAAGCTTTGCAAAGAAACCCAGAAGGCAATGTGCCTTCTCAAAGACCACATCATCACTGGAGCAGACAAAATTGATTAGAAACACTGAAGGTTCATTCACCTGCTCATCTACCAACACCATATGCCATCACTTGCTTAGTGCCCCTCATAATTCACAAAATAAACCCAGATATTTCAAAATGGGTCAGAGAGCAGAGAGTCACTAACCTGCTATGGTCCAAGATCTCTGCAAACTGAAGAACTGCTGTTTTTCAATAATAAAAAAAAAAGAGAGAGAGAGAGACAGTGAAAGTTATGAGTTAGTATTTTCCAAGGACTACTTTGAGTCCAAAAATATTGAGAACCACTCTTATACCAATTAGATCATTCAATATCTGTTGAATGTTTTCTTGCTTTGAAAGGGCTCAATTTTTGGCTTGTTTATCCAAAATTAGATGACCTATTTTTCAACTAAAGTGCAGAAGCATCAAGTTCTTGCAAACAATCTTGAGTGGTGCTTCATACCTGCAATAGTTAGCACTCAGGTTCAAATTTTCAAAACTGATTATTTTGGTGGGGGAGGGGGGGAGGGTGTTAGGGAGTGTACGCCTCAAAGCAAACCAAAACTATGATGATTGCAGGTTTGCTGTATAACACACACTTGCAATAAGAAAGTTAATTCAGTATTTGAATGAAATACTATGTAACAACATTTGAAGTGTGTTAAGTATTCTTGTACACGTTCTGATACAAATATTGACTTCCACACTTTCTTTTAAGGACTGGCTTCTCAAAATGCAAAAGCGTCAAGCACTATATTCGTTTATAAACCTTTAGCTAAAAGGTAAGGATGACTCTTGCACACAAGCTAATGTGTGTAACTATAACCACTGTATGCAACTTCAACCACCATTGAGAAAATCTACACTAACATCAGCTTGCTAAACAGATTTTAGAAAAATGATTTTCTTTCATTTAGAAAGTAGATACTACGTTGCTTTGTTTAACAAATGTTTTAAGTTCCTTTATACTCAAAATGTGCTTTCACATGACCACTTTAAGATCCTTTTCATAATTTAAAGGCAGATTTGCCAGCCACCAAATTTTATGAAGGGGGGGGGGGGTATCTCTTCTTTTCAGCCTTGCATACATTAGACATTTAACACCGATAGAAGCACTATTATAAAAGCAGCCAAACCTGTTACTTCAGTGACATCTAAAATATAAGTTTTTCACTTTGCTGTGGGTTTAAACAGCAGAAAAACTATTTATTGTTTCAAATAAATATGGAAGTTCTTTTGTGGAAGCACATTTGCAGATATTTATTTGTTCATGAGAAAGTCTATAACACATTTATTTCTAAATTATCCATTCAAGAGTATATGTAGAACCATTAGTAGGGTTAGTGAGGAGACCTGGAAAAGGCATATTCAGTACATGGATGACACTGACCATAGCACCTCAGTTAGAGCCTAGTTCTTGTACATGCCCAATCTGAGCAAGCTGTCTGAAGTGATAACAGCAGGGACAGAAGCAAAAAGAATCAGTTCCTTTAACTGAAGGAATACATCCACCATTAGTTAATAAAATTTGAAAATAAGAAGTTATTCTGGATGCCCAACTGTTGCTCAGTCACATTACAGGAAAAATGACTGCAGAGCTGCAAATGGTCTAAGACCAGCCTGACTACAGGATTGCCTCTCCTCCCATGCTGAAATAGCACAGCTACAAAGTGGCCAAGCTGAATGCCTCAAGAGACCCTCTCATCTAGCAGGAGGGGCTCAGGATACTGGAACTTGTTTTTCCCCTTGTCCAAACTTGCCTAATTTTTGGTGAACTTCTGGACAATATGCAAGAGACAGTGATCTGATAGGACTTTTGGAAAGCACTGGGGTACAGTCCAATTAGCTAAACTCCTTTTCTTGAGTGAAGGTTTTAATTTTGCTGGGACTTCATTGTCATGTGAATCTTGTGTTCAGATGCTTAGAGCTGTCTATAATAATCTTTTTATTAAGAAAAAGAATTCTGTAGTCTAATAGTTCAAAACACCATAAATAATTTTGATTTGCTTAATATGCTTTCCTCAAAAAGTCACCTCTCGATATCCTAACTTAGAAGCCAGTCTTATTAAGTGGATGGTCCTGTTGATCACACGTCAGAATTATTGATAAAAGTTTTCTGACTATGGATTTAGGGGAGGAAAAATAAAGTAAATGGTAGGGGTGCACTGACAGAGATTTTGGGGGGATGATATCAATAGCCGATATTTAAGGAGACATATCAGCCTGCCTCTAGGTGATAAGTCAGGTGTGGTGGAAGGGGAGGGGGGAGTGATTTTTTTTTTTTTTAAATCAGAGAAAACCAGGATCCCTACTCATGAGAGTAAGAAACCTCGCTGTAAGAGACCTTAAATGCATGCATACACACCAAATGTGTCCTTGTTGCAATGAAAGCTAACATGCTAGGCTACATTAGTAGGAACTTTGCCAGCAGATTAAGGGAAGTGATTCTTCCCCTCTATTCAGCACTGGTGAAGCCACAGTACTGGAGTACTGTGTCCAGTTTGGGGTCCCCACCACAGAAAGGACGTGGACGAATTGGAGAGAGTCCAGTGGAGGGTAATAAAAATGGTTAGGGGGCTGGGGCACATGATTTCTGAGGGGAGGCTGAGGGAACTGAGTTTATTTAGTCTGCAGAAGAGAAGACTAAGGGGGGATTTGATAGCAGCCTTCAAGTCCTGAAGGGTGGTTTTAAAGAGGATGGAGCTAGAGTGTTCTTAGTGGGGGCAGATGATAGAGCAAGGAGCAATGGTCTCAAGTTGCAGTGAGAGAAGTTTAAGTTGGATATTAGGGATAATTTTCTCACTATGAGGATGATGAAGTACTGGTGAAGTATTGATGAAGTATTTTTTTTAAATAATATCCCTCAGTCCCAAAATGCAGCTCTGGTGAACTAGCCATTGCACTTAGCTTTGTTTCGTAAAGGCGGATCCTCCTGGAAATAAGCTAATTGCAACTGAACTCATTAAATATGTGATTAGAGTTCATATCCCTTTTCCACAAAGAGCAGCTTCATAAACTTCTCCTTGTCCACTCCTGGGTTGTTGTTTTTGTTGGGTCTTGTTTGTTTGTTTGGGGGGGGGGGGTCTTTCCCCTGATTCATTTTAACTACCAAGTCAGATGTCATCAGTTCTTTTCCCATGGTAGGAGGATTTGCGCTAACAAGCAGTTATGTCACTTCTGTAAAACTGAGCTCTTCTAAGCGCTGGGGGTTCCCATATCTACACATGGTCCAGAGTTCTCCCCCCCACCTCACCTTCACAATTTGTCTAGACTGGAGCCTCGGGCTCCAATAGATCATCCGGCTCCCATTCAACCTGGTATCCTTCACTGAAGATGTCTGCACAACTTCCCCAGAGGTGATATGAAGGGTGGCAGGTGCCCGAGCTTCATAGCCCAAGCCCACAGAGGTATGTTTGCCAGAATGCAAACGTCCAGTAGGTGCTGGGGGAGGGAAGTCTGGTTAAGCG